ATTACAGTAAGTTACTTACATCTAATTCTTAATGTATAAGGAATCTATTAACCGTTTCAAAACCAGCGGAGTAGTGAGACAGGGCTGCTTGTTATTTCAAGTGTTGTTCAGTTTGTACCTGGCATACATGATGAGAGAAACACTAGACAATCATGAAATCTATATCCAGTTGGGGAAGATCACTGTGTAATTTACGTTTTGCGGACGACATTGATCTCACAACTGGTTCCAAAGCAGAACTACAAAAAATAACTACAAAACTAGAGACTGTCTGTGGTAAATATGGCATGGATTAATGCAGAGAAAAGCAAAATACTCCTAAATAGCCACAACAGTTAACAGCCTACCTAAATACAGATAAAATGGAAGAAAACAAGAAAAAAGTTGAAAACTTACATTCCTTGACTCCCACATATGTAAGAATGGCAGTTATATGAACAAGATCAAGACAAAAACTTCATTTGGCAACAGCCGCACTGTCCCAGCTTTATACAGTGTGGAAGAGCAAAATCAGTAGTATAGCAGAACCACTTTTTAAAGGGGCAGTGGGTGTTTTATTTTCCCCCCGAAATGGGGTCCTGACAACCCACATGACCTAATTACCTTCTATGACATGCATGTTAGGTTAGTGTTAATTCTGCTATGCTATTCATACGTTCATCAAGTTGGTAAATATTCAGCTCATTTCCAGTATTTAACCTCACTAGGGGGGCGCTGCGTGGTCTCTAGGCATGGTGTCTGCCTCGAGTGCTAGAGGTCCCGGGTTCAATCCCCAGTGAAGGTGGACTTCTAGTAATTTTCCCTGGTCTCCGGGTATTAAGATCAGACGCCCATGTGTATTGTTGCGCACGTAAAAAAATCCCTTGGCAGTTGGAAATCAAAAAGAGTAGCCAAACAGCACTGCCCGGGCAAAATTTGGAAATTAAAATCTACCCAAAGTATTTCAGGATCCTCGCCGGTGCAATATAGATTCTTTAGACTCAGGCTTGAGTTAGAAGAAGAAACGGAGCACTTATGGGTTACACCCGTGTGCAATGATGTTGATCCATTGGATAAACATAAACTACACATCTCTGATTCTCTTCTATCCCAGAGAGATGTTACATTTACTCATTAGAGCAGAACTGTTCATTTCACTCCTTCTGCCTATAGTCAGTGCTGGGTTTTGGTATAAGCTAAACATCAAAGCAAAGATTCCCTGTTGTGAATTTGAACAAAGAAGACACAAACAATAGATTAAACAATATATTGCCTGACACATATTTTGCTGTATCTCTTCAGGTGCATACTACAGTAATATTTGATTAAAATGAAGTAAATAAATGAATCCTTCAAATTTAAACACAAAACCGACTACATTCAAAAATTGTTTCAACACTAGGTTAAACACAAGATGAAGACTATGTTCCTTCTCTGCATAATTCTGGACTAAATCAGCTTAAAGTGGTTGCTTCCACAAACCTCAATAGTCTGCAGTTGGCTGAAGTATAAATAGTTTGAAATGCGTCTTCCTTGTTTACAATGTACCCAGAATTCAGAATATGGCACTCGTTCGCTGGTAGAGATTTTTTATTTTGTTACCAGTCACCTGATTCGTTGTTGCTGTGTTGTCGTTGTTCTTAGTGTTTTGCACTGCTTTTACCACCCATAGCAGAATATGTTTAGCTACCCGTTTTTCCAGTCGTTGATCAGTTCTGCCCACATATGCAGCATTACAGCTGCATTTAAATTGGGTAATACAATTAGGTCGCCACTGATTCTTTCACTGGTGGGGTAAAAATTATTGTATTTCTAAATCTGATAACAGGCATGGTTTGTAGAAAGTTTGGCAAAATGCTATTTTGAGCCGGTCATATAAACGTGGCATAACGTCATCTCCGCAAAGAGTTTGCCGGACATAAACTTTAAAAAAAAATTTGGCACTAACATTTCTAAAGTTTGGGGGGCTGGCAGTGGCACAATAAAACCACCTAGATATCCATTATAAAGCAGTGTTTATTTAATTAAGCATTTTGAATTTGATTGCAGCGTGTTGCTGAAACAAATCTTTCTAGCGCAGCTGAATAATGTCCACACTAGGCTACACTTGTACTGCGTCAGGTAAATAGGGTACAGCGCAGGGCCTCACAGTCTGCAGGAGCCTCATAATCTGCAGTTTATTAAACAAATTCTTTTTTTTTCTTTTTCCAAATGCAGTTCTTTTATTACATTGAAATTGCAAGTTTTCTGTTAATAGAGCCTTTTAGATGATTAAATGAAATAATTTCTGGGATTTTGAAAAAAAAACTTTCATTATTTCTTTTTCTAAAAATTTTAAGACAATATATTTCCATTATCCATACATTCAAAAGGAATATATGTTTTAGTTTTAAGACGGCAAGGTACCACCAAAGGTGCCATATGCAGAGGTAGCCAACCTCAACCCAAACCTAACCCTTTTATGACATACTTGAAAGGTTGCAGTTCTAAGGTTCTTTGGTTCCCTTAAGAGGAAGTAATAGAAGGCAATGCTGTGATTCATTTCTTATAAAATGTCTCAATCCAACTTTAGCCTCGTCTGAAATGCTGGAGCAAGACCATGAAGTCCAGAGTTGGGCGCAGGAACTTGTGAAGGAGCGGAATGGTAAAGATGGTGGGATAGGAATAAAGGTAAACAGACATTGTTTGTGTGGTTAATTTTTCTTTCTCTGAAATTGAAGAGTTGTGTGGTTAATTTTTCTTTCTCTGAAATTGAAGAGGTTTGAAGTTATGTTGGCTGTCTCTGACTCATGTAGAATTGTTTAATTTTTCTTTCTGGAGCTGAAGATGACTGGTTGATTGCTGTCTGTGACTCATATAGACTTGTTTAGATTGATATCATTAGCTTAGAATGTTTACAGAGAATAAAATCATTGGATCATATTTGTATTTAAAAATTGTGAGGGCCCTTTGGGAGTGAGTGAACAGTGAAGAGACACAAAGTCAAATAATCAATACGGTCTGAGAAGAATGGAGCTTCGAGGAGTTACCCGGGGATCTGGCTGACGCTCAACACTCAAGGAATGGATGTACAATCAAACAGTTACTGGTACAGTCAGAATTAGAACCTTTTCACTTGTTGCTGAAGATGGGGACAGAGCGCTTATTGGAGTGTCCTGAGTGCTGTGATGTCAATTCCTAATTTAACATTCAACATTCAAAATGTGGGCTCTCCTTTAAATCGTTCCCCAAAATGGCGGCTTTAATATGATGGCGTTCGAAAGAGAGCTAAATTGGCCAATTTCTGGCCATAAAATATCCAAAAATATCCTAATGCGGGTCAGTTCTATTAAAAATATATGTGCCGGCTCCGGATAACGAAACAAATGCTCTGACAGGGTCTCGGCGATACGTTGCTTGCCGACCTGCTTCTGCGAGTGTGCCTCACTGCCAAGCGTTTCCCCCGCGCCGCGTATAGCTAAACTAGATGGCTGGGACTCACGAGCGGCAGCTACCGCATCTCCTGCAACGTCCTCCAATTAATGTACTCGTGAGTCCCAGGCACCTAGTTTAGCCCCCATCCGCGCCGCGCGTAGCGGCGCAGGTGATACGCTCGCTGATGAGTTTAATCGCGTTTGGCGCATGCCAACAAGTCTGACATCTACCGCTGCTAAATCCTCCAATCGGAAGAACACAGTATTGCTAATCGGCTTTTATCGTCTGTAATGTCTCGAAATTGGTCAACGGTCGCTAGTATCGTCTGCACAAACGCTCAAAATTGTTGTCAATGGTCGGTATTTATCGTCTGCTACTAGTACCTTGTGCAGATGTTGATATTGATTGTCAAGTAATCCTAGTTTTGCCGCGATTTGTTCCTTGGCAGAAAATCCGTATTTTAGATATACACGAACACCGTTGTTCAGATATTTTTGGATATTTTATGACCAGAATGTGGCATGCCGCCATTTTGGGGAATGATTCAAAGGAGCGCCAAAATTTGCATAAGAAAAAAAGATTAAAGGCATGAGGATCAACATCATTTGCATCAGGTATTAGCCTTTATGGTTTGATCTCTCTCCACACAATCATAAGTTGTCCACAGAGGCATTGCAGAAAGTATGAACTCTGTTGCTCCAGCGACAATCCTTAAGAATCTCTTTAAAAGTTACACATGAACCAAATAATACGGTCCATGAAATCGTGTGAAAAGTATCCTTAAATATGCTTTCAGTAATTAGTTGTGCAATCACTGTACTTTGAACCATACAGAGTGTGACTGTTGAGATAATGTCCTCAGTAAAACCCTTTGTGCATAGAAACTAATCACACCAATTGTGGGTTAGTTTACTTTCCTCCTTCTTTGGCTTTATATATAGTTTTTTCTAATATTAATATCAAAGAAAAGAATAGTATCTAAATGAGTTATTCTAGGAAAAGTACATATATTTAAATATCTAGGCATATTGATAAGATTCCACAGAAGATGTATCACAGAGATACTGAACAAAAAAAGAAACAGTAATATCCTGTTCAACTTATCTGGATTATTTGGATTTATAGAGTTTGAACGACTGACATTCAACCCAACCAGGACATAACACCGAGCGATAAACACCTGATGACGCAGAGTACTACCATTTGGATGAGGATCACCCGGGGACAGGTCCCAGAAAGCCCATTCAACGCATAGTTTGGGTTATATTGGGACCCCTGACAACAACTAGGGTGGGGCTTTAAAACCACAACAAAACTGCGCTTGACATTCGGACACAGTCTTCATTATTGGGTTTTTTCTACCATAAATTTTATATTTATGTTTGTCAGTTAGGTTTTGCTATTTAATATCGTACAGAATATGTATTAACTGTAGCAGATTGTAGAGGTATAGATTGCAAGTTTAATATATCTTAAGAGTATGTTTTAAATAATTATGATAATCATATTATGTAATCTATTTGCTTTTTGTTTAGTTCGGTAGTTTGCACGTGGATAGAGACAACAAAATCTGCCAGGAAATACAGTTATCTTTCTTGTGTCTCCAGGGAGTCCCAGGCAATGGACACATAACCACAAATGACCAACTGACCCAGATTTTGACAAGCATCATATACTCCTGCAGTGTGGCCCATGCTGCTGCAAATTTTCCTCAGTATGAGGAGTATGGCTTTCCTCTGAAGTATCCAGCAATGCTGCGTGGGAAACCTCCAACAGAAACAGTAGGTGGTGACTGTCAGAAAGGGAGCGGCTAGGCTAGTGTAGGGTGGAGTATGAAGTTATGGGATAATGTGATTCTAAATTCTGTCCAGACGTCTATGTGTTTGTGCAACACTCAAATCTTGTAGGCTGTGACTTCATATTATGTTTGACTTGTACATTACTTGGCATTTTTTAACCAGTGGTAATGGTGCAGCTTCTGCACATTGCTTCGATCTGAATGTGTTGGTGTTACCTCCTCTTTGGAGTTAGTTAGTTCCCCTGTAGGTTCTGGCGCCCCATTGTGGGGAAAACAAGAACATACCCACTGCTTCCCCCCCCCCCCCCCCCCCCCTTCCAACAAGCATGTCATAGGAGTCAAGTAACTGGGGACATGCTTCAAAGTTGGAGTAAGTCTGCTCAAAAGGCAAGGAAAAACAAGTCTGCATAAGCCAGATCTTTGGCACTGGTAGCTAAATGTTGGAATGAATATGCTGTTAATAACCTGTCTCTTTGCACTCATAGTAATAGTTCCATACTAGGATATAAATACACAATGTGTATTTTAGTGATTGTTTTTTAAGTATTTTTGCTTGTAAACTTGGATACAGAATAGGTTACATTTCCATTCAGTATTTCACATCTACACTGAGACACAGAAGTTTGTTACAGCATGGTTTAGTATTTCATAGTGGGGTCTCCTTAGCAAACTGGTCAAGCCATTTGGCTCATGCTCTGCAGCGCTTGGTTCGTGTTATGGCTGCATCAATCAGGTTCGCAGTCGGAATTGTTACAGAGATTCATGGAGATCATTGCTGGAGCTACAGACTTCTTGCTTTGTGTGATGCTCTTGGCAAGCTGCAGAGAGCAAGCCATTTTGGATAAGACTCGATGCAATGATGTTGATCCTTTTGACTTTAACATTAACTTTAGCATTTCACTTCTAAACTGAGATACAGAAGTATGTTAAATCATTTTTGAGTTTTTCTTCTTCTCTACTAAATACCCAAAAAGATCTGTAGTGAGAGAAAGAAAAAGCGGTGTTTCATTGCAAAGGAGAATGGAAGTTGTTTAAAAAAATAAAATAAAAGCATCACATATAACGTCACAACGTCTAGCATGAGAGTGGAATTTTAAAAAGTAGACGCAGCTTTCCAATGGCTGGAGAGTACTCAATTCTGACATTAAGTTGTCAGGGACTTGCTTGGAAAACAAAAGAAACTAGTGTCCTAAGTTCAGAGTGGATTGCTTCACTTTGTAAGACTTAAATCAGAAGCATATCATGGATATTTAGCCCAGGACATTCAGGTGTGTGTGACAAGAACCAGGCTGATAGACTGGCTGCTGCTGGTGGTAAGCTACATTATAATAAAGCAGACTATCTAGAGTCAGTTAACTCTGCAACAGAACAGACTGCATGCAAATCTTGAAAAGATGATTTAGTCTGGGGTGAAATGACGGTCTGGATGATTTTCTACCACACAAATGGGTGAACTTTCAGTCAAGACTGCAGTAGCATGGAAACACCTTATGCTACTGAGAAGTGGGACAGAACACATATGGGAATGTACCAAGTGTAAATGATGTCAGTTTTTGATTCATCCATTCATTCACTCTTCTGTATGAGGATATAAAAGTAATTGTGTACTCTTCTAAACTAAAGATATGGAAATATCTTACACTATTGTTTAGTATTCCTCGAATATATATGGATATAAAAGCATGTTGAGATATTGTTTAGAGATCTACTTATTTATTATGATAAAGAAACATCTCAGTGTACTGTTTAGAACCTCTTCTACACTGGGAGTTATGGGTATCTAACAATATTGTTTAGTTAGAATGCAGTCCCCTCCCTACACTCCCACAATATATATATATATATATCACCTTGAGTTGGTTAATGGGCTTTGTTTCACTGGCAGAATAAAGAAAGAAACAAGTTTTCTCTGATATTTTCTGTTGTCATTTATTCTAAAATTGAGCAAGCCACATTAGCGTTGCAGCCAGAAGCTTGCCCACCAATCCAAAGTTCTCAGCTTCTAATCTTCATGGAGTAATATAGTTTTTAAATTTAAAAATAACCTTGGCTTTTGGATCAACCCAGCCTACAATGGGTACCAGGTAAAGTCATGGGAAGTAAAGATGGCTGTCATTGTTTTGACCATATTACCAGAGTAGTGCTGATTGCTCTATACAAATGTCTAGCCAAATAATCCTGAGGTGCCAGTGCCATGAACGGGTCCCGTACTTACTTCTTTACTTTCTATAAGTAGCCATCAATACTAGTAAATGAATTCTGGGGTATTTTTCAGAAGGCTGTCGTCACTGAGCAAGATCTTCTGGAAAGACTCCCCAACAGAGAGGAGCTACTGAAGACCCTGAGTATTACAACCATCCTCAGTACTAAAGGAACCAAAAGTCTGGGGGATTTTGAAGTCCAATACGTGTTTGACCCTGAGGCATTAAAGATAGTCTCTAAGTAAGCATTTATCATTTTGGTGTTAAAAACTTTGCTGGCTGTCTTATACATTTAGTGCATGAGAGAACGGTTGATTTTGTTGAGACTACTGTATGTTCAACTTTTTACATGGAACAGTGAATGATATTTTGTCTAGTTGTTACAAGTACAGGAAGAGAACACTTATTTGGTGACCCATTTCCTTGATTATTTTGTAAAAAAATTAGGTTAGAACTTTTAGAGGTTTGATCAGTAAAGGACACACTGACCAACATAGCTACCTTACCAGCCAATCATCCATTAAACCAAATTCAATCTACAAAGCTAATCATTCAACAATCCACTCAAACATCCAACTAACCAATAATCTAACAAACTATCTAACTAACCAGCTGTCTTTTCAGCCATCCAACCAACAAACCCTCTGTCCAAGCATCCAATCAATCATTTAACTAACCATTCAGCTAACCAACTTACCAACCAATCATCCATTCAAAAAACCAGTGCTTATAAGTTTTTCTCTCTATTCATTTCTAGATTTCGGGAGGAGCTTAAAGAGATCAGTGCCACAATCCATGAGCGAAACAAGACCAGAGATGAGGCCTATGAGTACTTGGATCCCGAACTTATTCCAAACAGCATCAGCATTTAACAGCACCAGCATTTAACAACACCAGCATTTAACAGCATCAGCATTTAACAACACCAGCATTTAACATCAGCATTTAACAACATCAGCATTTAACAACATCAGCATTTAACAGATTCAGCATTGAACAATATCAGTAATTAATTGTAAATCAATATTAAACTGTATCAGCATTTTACTTTCCACTTTTTCTGCATAGGAAATCAGGTATCATTTCACAGTTTTTCTTCTTTTTCTTCTTTTCTCTACTCCTGGAATGCCTCACGGCGTCAGGGCAGGAAGAGATCTCTACAAAGGGGCCTTCTGTTTGCTTTGTATATAGCACTTTTCAGTGTCTCTGATATTTCTGCGGTCCATATTCTGCGTGATCAACCTCTGGGTTTGTTACCACTGTATCTGTATAACATTGCTCTCTGTGAAAATTCTTACTTGCAGCATTACCACTGTAATTTTCTTTCCACTGTATACTACTACTTCTTCTTTTTTTGCATTCAGTTTCATATGCTCAGGTCATTCCATCAGGTGGGTTGTCTCTATGAACTCGCATGTCAGCAGCAAGTCCTTCATTGTTCCCCATAACTTGCTCTGCACACTTTGCTCTGAGGCCAGGTGTCTTTTCGAAGTTGTAGATAGAGTGGGCAGGTCTGCAGAATGTGCTCAGGTGATTCTGGTTCTGTTTGACAGGCACACTGTGGGGACTGTACAATCTTTATTTTTTGCATGTGGTTGTTGAGCCTTTAGTGTCCTGTTTATAGACAGAAAATTGTTGTATGTTGCTTTCTGTAGAGTCTGCTGATGGGGTCTTGTAGAATTTTACTGTTGATTTGTTCTCTCCACAATTCCTTGTATCTTTCCGGAGTTCTGTCCCCTGGCTGCAGTGCAATTACGGACTGGAGAAGGCACGAATCAATAAACAAAGTGAGGTCGACATACCTGGCAGAACCCGCGCTACGACTCAAATTAGCGACTGCGTTCAATTACCGCTTCTTGCGACGCATTACGGAGTGGATTAGAGGGAACGAAACAAGTGACATAATTACTGTGTGTTGGCAATAGACAGCGTGCAGTGCCCTACTGTCATCATACGCTTAGGGTTTGGGTTATGTTCTGGGTTAGGGTTAGGGCTGCTACTTTGAGTTTGTGCGAAAACGAGATGCGGCGACACTAACCGTAACCCTAACCCTAAACCTAACCCAAACCCTACCTCTAACCCTACCCCTAAACCTAACCCTACCCCTAACCCTAACCCAAACCCTAATTGTATGATCATAACAGGGCAGTGCACGCTGTCTATCGCCAACACACAGTAATTATGTCATTTGTTTCGTTTCCTCCTGTCCAGTCCGTAATAGCACTGCAGCCAGGGGACAGAACTCTGACTAACCGGCCGTCTACTGTTGTCTACCGGCCGTAGTTAACAGGAGAGCCAAATATTTAAATCTTTCGATGAATACAGAAGAAGAAGATGAAGATTTTTCAAAATCTACAACATATATAATTTTTCATGTATGGATCTGAATGATTTAGATTTTCCATAATTTATAACATATTTAATTTTTACAGAGTATTTCAATTTAAATTTTCAAAATTTTACATTCAAAGTTTTCCACTGTCAGAAAACACCATGATGTCAAAATAAGAACTGTAGAAAAAACCACTCTGAGTTTTGATTGGTCTGTAAAACAAAAATCTAGCATCACTGTACCTGATGCGCCAATGATATGAAAAAGGCCATTGATGTTTTCTTTTAAAACTTTTAATCAGGCGAGCTAATACAATGGACAGTCCACCAGGGGAAGCAATTTGATAGAAAGATCATAATATGTGGGTAGTAGATGGTCTCTGTAGTACTGACTGCCTTGGAGTTGTCCTATGGAGAAACATGCAGGCATGTCTTGCTTGTCACACTCGCT